CGAAGCGAAAAAAACGACGTTTGGTGCCCGAAAAATAGAAAATAAAAAAATTTCGTAGCTAATCCGTAGCTAATTAGCTACGGATTTTTCTTATTTTTGATTTTTCGGACATTAAACATCGTTTTTTTCTCTTCGTTTTTTTCTCACCTCTATTATACATGATTATCTTTATTTTCAACAACTTATAGTTATTAATAGTGTTCATAAAGTCGTTTGCACCTTCGAGATCCTTTACTCATTTAATGGTTTAATATTGTATCCGTAGCTATTCCGTAGCTATTCCGTAGCCATTCTGTAGCTAATTAGCTACGGAATAGCTACGGGTTAACATCCGTAACTATTCCGTAGCTAATTAGCTACGGAAAAACTACGGACTAGCATCCGTAGTTATTCCGTAGCTATTCCGTTACTAAATTAGGGCGTCCCATTCTGTAGCTAATCCGTAGCCATTCCGTAGCTAATTAGCTACGGAAATTTTCCTTAGCTATTATCCGTAGGAAAACACCCTTTTTTCTAGTAGTGTCCATAATCACACGAAACATGTTTTTTTTTTTTTTAATTATGTATTTCACTAGTTTGTCAATTGTTTGTTGTCTACAGGTTGTTAGTATTTACTAAAATTCATATACCATATACATTTATTTCATATCATATTTCTATAAAAGGAAGACCATGTTAGAATCTAGAGTTAGATGCGTACATAATCTTATGAAATTCTGTAAGAGTGAAAAGATGGAAACATCATTTGTAATGTTCATAACTTGATATATGTTCATAACATTGTTTGATCCAGGTGGACGTGTGAGGACTTGGAAGAGAGGGTAAGTTCTAGGATCCGAACTGGATGCCGCAAAAACATAAGATGCAAAGGGTGCCTTTGTTGTGTTTGTTTTGGATGCAACATGTGTAGGTTTGAAGATTGTGGATGTCGAACATGCATGGATTTTTATGAAAATGCAACTAACTAGGTGCATGTTGTTTTAGTAGCTTTGTGTCTGTCTTTCTAAGATATTGAAAAAGGGATGTTTATGTGGTTCACATGCTTGGGATTTTATGGTTCTACGGTCCGCATTGCACTTGTTTGGGATTTTGTGATGGTTAATGTTTCTATGAAGTTATACTGGCATGTTAAGAAAATCTATAGTCATTTACTTTTCTATATACAATCTATCATTTGTATAATATATGCATTTCATAACTTTAGTCATATTTGCATGTACGAGATTGTTATACCTTCAAAGATTTGCCATGCAACGTTCTTAACATGCCAGAGTGGCCACCCAGAGCCCATAGCAGTATATATGGTGCCTTAGTTTTAATCATGCTCTTGATTATCAATAAGTAACTTCTCATTTTTTTAAAACTAAATCGGCTCTTTTTGTAAGGAAACTTCTTATTACCTAAGCAACCTTGTTCACTCATTCACAACACCATTTTTGTTCTCATATGTAGCACGCTGTTGCTTTACTTTTTAATTTATATTATAAATATATTAACAACATTTATAAAACACTGTGTTCAAGTGAACTATTAAAATTTGCCTTAGTTTGCTTGGTAAGTGAACTTTCTATTTGACATGTAACCTTGGTTGGGTTCAATCCCTTGGAGATGTAAAAAATTATTATATTTTTGCTATTATTTTATAATCTGTATATTAATAAAATAGATAATAAAACATTATACATGCTCATCAAAATGCTTGACTTGATTGGCATGGGCAATAGATTTAGTTTACTTTTTTTTATATGCGTTTAATTTGAGTTTAGTTCTTAAATAATAATATTTTTTATAATAAACATTTTGACTCTTATTTAAGAGGTCCATGTTCATTTTTAACAAGAGTCTTACAAAAAAAACTCAGGTATAATCATTTGGAGCTTTTTCTTTTTTGTTTTGCCTTGTACTCCAAATATTTTTGGATCGGCCCTATGTCCTTGCTATTTGCTCGAGGTGCACATGGGTTGATTAATATCCGATCCCTAATTTGTTTTTATCTTAGTCGGATAAAAGCCTAAAATGTCAAACTAGTATTTCACAATATCCATATTGTATTTATCCGAATTCAGTTGAAAAGTGTTGGATCCGGTATAACTGGTTTCGAATAGGATAATATTATGATTTTAAAACTTGATATTCGGATTATAAATTCTTTTTTTATACTTGTGTTCAACCAAGTATATTATTTTTGTTATAACAATAACAAAAAAAAAAAAATAAAGCACTTTAAGCATAAAATTTTTCCAATAAAAATTAAAAAGATGCAAATAATATGTGAAACAAATAACAAAAGTTAGATTGAACACAAGTATTTATAATAGTTGAGTGCTACCAAGAACTTGATCCACTTCAATGGAAGAACCCCTCACTGTCCTAAATTTTTTTTGCAGATTTTGCTAACAAGTGCTTTCAAACACAACGGTAAAAGGTAATGAATCACTCACCCAAATACTCACACTCTTACACAATAATATATTTTAGAATGGAATCACACCACTGAAAAAGACTTGAAGCAATAAGGGGAGATGATAATTTGAAGATTAGGCATTGGATTTTTTTTTCCTTTCCTTTGAATTTCATAGAATTAAACTATCAAAGATGTATGAAATTAAAGAGAATCTAGAAAATTTTCATCAAATGTCTTAAGCTAGAATATGAAGCTGTAGCATATATAACCAAACTAAGGAAGCTGCCATGCCAAACCTGAATCATTCATCACAAGAAACCTTGGATTATGATATCTGAATAAAGATGCATTTGTTAACCTCTAAGTGGAAACTAAATCTAAGACAAACTGAAAAAGAGTATCGAGACGTCTAAGCACAGGAAGGGGAGTACTTTCCCTATTGATAAAAAAACTTACACCTTACAACCAAGTATTAATTTAAAATTGTCATTGCATATGCCACATATAAACATTCAAAAAAAAAAAAAAGTAAGAGTTTATAGATGCAACTTAAAACATCAACAAAAATGCAAAAGAATACAGAATCCAATCTACCGATACCTGTAAAGTGTAAACGCATATGTATTTTACAATCCCCCTCTTTATAAGCGCGACCGAATGAAGATCTTCTTCACATCAGTTTTTGCAGGAGATGATTTTTCACTACCTTCTGCGGTTTCATCTTTACGAGGATCCAAATCCTTGGCACATAAGATTGAATCTTCGTCATCCAGCCTTATAATATGCAAATCCTCTTCCATTTTCTCCATCCGAGCCTGCATCTCCTCCATCATTAATGTATGTGGTGCTTTATTGTTCAAATTTGCTGGTTCTACAGGAGCTTCATCCTTCAATCCTTCCTTCACTATCTTATACACTTGCATCCGACCTTCACATAACCAGAAACAGAATCATCAATTATGCAATCGGGTTTTGAGAACAATTGAGTCGTTCGTAAGAACCTTATAAAGTACCCAAAATCGTTACCATGAAACTCATAAATCCCTAATCTAAAATTCGACCATTTAAATAGAATTGTTGAATAATACCAATGTAACTTCGTAAGAAAACATTAAAATTTGAACACAGGCAGGGTTTCTTACCCCTAATCCCCAAAAGCAATAATTTTAAACAAAAATAGAGTCAGGAGCTCAATCCTAGTTCAGTAGCATGATTCATGAAGGAGATCATATAACTAACCTTTGAGAGAATCGTTAACAGCAGAATCGACGGCGAACTTGCCGAAGCCGGTTAGAACTCGAGTTATGGTCTCCCTACGATCGGGGTCAGGCAGGGATTCCACAACCGGCTTGGTTAGGAAGCGATTACGGGAAGTTGTAGATGAATCGGAGGAGGTGTTTGAAGTGCTCCGATTCATAAGTCTGACGGCGATCGATCTGATATCGTCCCAGATACCCATGGAGCCGGCGTTGGTTGTTCCCGGTGGGAGGAGACAAGGGGGTGGGGGTGGGGGTGGGGCTGTTCCTACTTCCTATCCGTAGTCAGTGGTTAAGATTATTAATAAGCGCAAATTGTTGCACTCAGCGGAAAACATACTTATATCACGGCCCTCGATTCCTTTGCGTAAGAGTAATGATTTATTTATGTAATATTTTAATACTTTAAGTTTAGTTTGCAATTTATCAATTATCAATACATATATAAATCATCAATATATAATCCAAATTTTAATTTACTTTTAGTATACTACTTTACTAGGTGTAAAACTCGTGTATTACATAGGTTGATTAGAAAAAAGATTAAATATTAAAGGATAAACAATAAGTATTTTTTAAAATAAAATTTCAAAATAATGAATGAAGAAAACGTATTAATTGCAATTTACTATCACATTTATTATATTTAATACTTTACATATATAAATACAAGTATTATGTGGCTTTTTAATTTTAAAATTTGAAAAAATCAAAAATTTACATGTGGATATTATTTGTTTTAAAAAATATCACAAAATGACAAGTGACAAAACTCATGAGAGATTGACATTTGACAAAATGAATATTATTTATTAGAGTAGATTATTATTATTTTTTAAAAACGGAAAACCAAACACTGTAGAATGGCCAACCAATTTATAGTGGCGTTCGGATTGCTTATTTAAATTTTTTTATGTTTTTTTTAAAGTGCTTAGTTGTTAGCTTATGTGTTATAAAATGAAGTTTAGAAAATAAAATGTTTACATTATTTTATTGTGGTAACAAGTTATAATAAGTTGATAAATACTTTTTTAGTGTTGGATAAATTTTGCTTATTGAAAATATAACAATAAATTCATATTCATATCGTTGTCATGAAAAAAAAAAGAGTTAAGATTACGTTTTAGGGTTAAAAAATGGTAATTGGTTTTCATATATAAGTAATACCTTTAAATAAATTAGAAGCATTTAAGATAAGTTAGAAGAAAGTCACAACTTATAAAAACTGTTTATTTAATTAAAAAATTAACTTTTTTTATTTGAACACTAAAATATACTTATTAACATTACCAAAAACCAAAAAAACTAATAAACACAAATAAACCAAAACACCCAAAAAAAACTATGGCTACTGTATTTCAAATCATAGTTTTGTAAGAAAAAAAACTTAATTGGAATATTATAATATAGGAAAAAGCAAAACTAATATTTAGTGAATCTAACCATAATCAACGAAGTTTAATGACTTAAAAGGTACATGTCATGTGTATATATATTTAGTCAGTCAACAATTTTTTTATATAATTTATCATTAAAATCTCTTCAACCATTCAAAAACTACCATAATAATGGTAAATTTTAGACTATGTCTGTTATCTTTGTTTATTTGAGAAAAGTAATTAAATATTATTTACATAGAGAAGGTTAATGACTAAAGATGATAATGTATTATTTCACGTAAATATATTTAGTTCCAAACTTTGAATATGATTTATCATTAAACTCTCTGTATTTGTTCAAAAACTACCATTATAACCAAATATTACGAATAAATGTTGATTTGATATTTACGTTGCAAAGATAGATCTAATACGTAATTGTAAACTTATATTCGTAAGCCATGACCTAAATTTGAACGAATGAAGTTCCAACAATATCGTCTTCTTCTGCACTCTCCAGCTCAAATACGAATGTGCAACCGAAATTTCATGTGATTGTGGCTTAGACCATGTGGTATGGGTCCTTAACGTTGTTGATGAGTTGTGACATCCCTATTTTTACGGTCATTTTAAAATTTTTTATTTATGCTTATTTAAAACATAGTTTATTTATATATGCGGAATTTGGTCCCGTAAAAATATTTCCGAATAAATGTTTTTCATTGATTTATAAAAAGTTTGGGATGTCATAACCGATACAAAACATAAACATAAACAGATCTTACAATATCTTAGACTATTAGTCTACATCTCTTTGAATCTTTCATCATTCATGTACCTTTGTACCGCTACCTATGATACAAAGAAGTTGAGTGGGTCAGGTTGGGAAACCTGGTGAGTACATAAGGTTTTCAATCCATAATAATATAGTTAATATGTTTAATTATCAAACAATTAACCTGGTTACTCATCCCCGTTTTCTTCTTTATTTTTCCCTAAGGATCTATCCTAAGGGTTATATTAGTCATCATTGCTGACAATACTGTTACATGGATTTATCTGGAATACATGTCAGTAGGTTTCTTTCTATTTTCATTCCTAAGGATATGTCCTCATGATTATTTTAATCATCGTCGCTGACAGTACTGTTATAGAGATTTCTCTGCAATACGTGTCAGTGGAAAGTAGAGTACATCAAATGGGCATGAAGTCCATCGATGCCTGCGTTCCACGGGACTATCATCAAATAGTTCGGTGGTTGTCATCTATACTTTGTTAGATGACTACATCGCTTAGTACTGTAGTACTAGTAGGTTAAGGCCTTTTATTATTTTTATCTCCCATCATTTATCTCTCTCTTTATTCTATTCATCCATTATTACCCAATATATTGTAGGTAAGAAAATACATATACAGTAAATCGTATAAAAATCATCTTATAATATTTCATCTAACACACAACGATTTTGCACATAAGCACGTATAATATTTAATTATCTAAATACTTCATATTTATGTGTAAGATGAAAGTAACTATGCACTCACTTGTTAAATTGGATGACTGAAAAGTTGGGTAGCGCTTCGCTTCGGTACTTGGCTTTTCCTTTTGACGCGGCTCAGGTTCATATTACTAAGTCTTAGTCTTATATTCGTGGTGATTAATGATAGTCTAGATTCCTCACTAATTCAAATGTCTACATCAAGATCTATCAAGTAAGAAACAACCATATAGGATCATATCGGAGGTAGGGTTCGTTTGGTATACATAGTATATTGTTTGGAAATCTCACTTTAAACACCTCACTAAATCCAGCCTAGACATTATCCCCATAAGTAGATCAATCAGTATAATGATCTGGAATCACTGATAAATCTTATTTATAGATTCATAACATCGACTATGAATATAAATATAAATTACACTAAAATAAAGTTTAGTGTAAGAGATTTCCTAGACAAAAGTCCGAAAATTGTACTGGCAGAACTCTGACCTGCTAGCTACTAGATTTCGGGCTCTCAGAGACCTCAAGGCTTCGCCAAAATCCTAATTCTAGAGAAAATGTTGGACAAAAATAAAGAGAAACTCAACAGATGGAGGAATAGGGAGTGAATGGGGCTTGGAATTAGCATTTATAGGAAAATTTTCGGGAGGTGTGTTGTGCATTTTGTCGGGTGGGTGATGTGGCTCCATGCAGAGTGTGACACGTGACGGAAATCTAATGGAGTGTTAGTGCGCTCCGCGCCACTTGTAGGGGCGCGTCGCGCACACACACATTTTCAGTTTTTTTTTTAAATCAAATATTCTTCATACTAGCTTCGTTTTTTATGTTCTTTATATCCAAGCATAGTTATCGACGAGATCTACAACTTTCGTTTAGACTCCGTCGGCTAATTTTCACTTTATTTTTAAAGTTATATTTTTAACTGGCTTAGACTGTTAAAGTCTGTGTAAAAATCATAACCCTCTCATACGACATTCGTTCTTGATTGGCTTTATATTAATTGACTCCTATTAACGAGATCTTCGACTCTCATTTAGATTGTTTTTCCTAATAATCGACCGATCTTTATTTTGGTTTCTGGGTCCGCATTGTTGCGCTGAAACTTCGAAAAATCATAACTTCCCCTCGCAAAGTCAGATTTGGACGTTCTCTATATGCACGCTCTCGGTTTTACAAATACTATGACTTTCGATTATACCACTAAGGCTAAAAAATATTTTATCAAAATTTTACTTTCTTCGATACATAGAGTCGTGTCGGTTTAATCGCGAAACTTCAAAGAAGCGTAACTTCTTCATACGAAGTCGGGTTTCAACGTTCTTTATATGTACGAAATCCTTGTCACATATACTATAACTTTAGTTAAGATTATTTATCCTAAATAATCATCTATTAAAAAGTCATTTTTAACGTTTATTATATATTAATCGTCTAGCCCGAATTTGCAGTCGTTATAGGAGCCAACGTGGCATACCCTTAACGGCGTTGAGGACATAGGCACACCACCCCCAAAACATGTTATGGTATGAAGCATTGCAACGAGAACGTAGCTCAACGACGAACTAAACCAATCAAAACTCTTTAAAATTTGTTGAGCATTGAACGGTCAAATTTTTTTTTACTTGTAAATACATACCATCTTACCTAATTTATTCACACCGTTTTTTTCTTTCTTTGTACTTTATATAATTTCAATACATCTACAAAAAAAAGTGTGCATCCGTTCGTCTTGTTCAATGACATGTATGATGATATGTTCATCACCATGATGTAAGAGTATTACAATAACGAGTTACTAGAAGCAAATGTAGCACCTCTACTAACAAGACATGCGATGTTAAATAAAAATCATAAGGAATGACACGAACAACTATATCGCGATTACTTTGCGGATAATTGTGTCTACCAGTCAAAAGATTTCAAAAGAAGGTTTCGTTTGAGTAGGAATGTGTTTTTACGGATAGTCAATGCCTTGGAAAGCAGGTATCATTTCTTTCATTTTTTTACTTATTAAATATATATTTTATATAAAATAAATACATATTTTTACATATTAAATATATGTTTAGGTATCGTTTTTTCTAATTAAGATATGATGTTAGAGGTAAGCGGGAATTTACAAAGTAGCAGAAATGTGTTACGGTAATTCGGTTGATGGCTTAAGGGAGCCATCTGATTCCATTGACGATTATATGAAAATATCTAAAAGAATTGCAATAGAAAGTTTGTATAGATTGTCAAAAGGTGTTGTTGAAACATTCTGTAATGTTTATTTGCGGAAACGATGTTGCATGATATGCAAGAACTATATGCAGCACTTGAAGAAAAATATGGTTTTCTCGGTATGTTTGGAAGCATTGATTGCACACA